GGCCCCCCCCCCCCCCCCCACAACTCATGCCCCCACAAAAATGATGAGTGCCCTGACTCTGTGACAGTGTTATTGTATTTATATGTTTGTTTCCTTTTATATTGAATTAAATTATTTTTCTGATTTAATTTTTATTATGTTATATATTTCTGCCTACGTGAACCTTAATTCGTTTTTGGCTTTGTTCCAGGTCGTGATATTGCTTCAATGGCACTACTGTATGCAGTAAAAAAAAATTTAATAGCTTTTTCAATTTAAGCTAGATATTGGGAAAATTAAACTCTAGTGAGTTTGCATTAATAAGAATAACAGCGTGCTGCGTTCAATGTCAGCTGAAGGCACCAAGGGGTTCAGATGTTTGATCAGATGCTAATCAATTGGGAGTGCAGCAGGGAGAGGCGTGAGCACCATTGATTTTGCTCTTCTGCAGAGCACAGCTAACACAGTATTAAAAGCCACTTTCCAAATAAACAAATGGCCACACCACTGGGGTTTGTAATAGGAAACACTGCCTCATTTCAAACAGTTTCATCATTTTTATTCTCCTGTCGCAATGAACGACTGTATATACAACAACCTGTGAAAGAATATGGTGATAAAAGACACATGTGTAACAGTTGTCAGTTTGTTCATGTATTTGCAATTACAGTGCAACATGTTTGAATATTGCTGTCAGTTGTTAGCTTTCATCTTTTTGGTGTTTTGGAAGCCTGTCTCTGAGAGCACTAATCAGGGTGTATGACCCTAGAAAATGAGTTGAACTCCATCAGTTAACCCTGTTTACTTGGTTCATGTTCAAGAATTGGATCAAATAATTTATTTGGCTCAACATCTTGCCACTCTGTCAATGATTCAAGAGTAATTTGTTCAGACACTAGAAAAGTCACTGGAGAACTCATAAGTTTTTTCCCCTTAGTAAAGAAGTAGTTTCTAAAACAATAGGTTTCATCTAACAAGTCCTCTCTAATACCTGAGGGAAAAACATGAGCAGCAGCAAACACTGACCTTTCTAACCTATTGTACATTGTGGAGGTGAGACTGAGGCAATTTAAAACAACTATGGTGATCCTGCACCTTCAGAAGGTTAATGAGGAAACTGGCATGAAATTCATTGTGTATCTGAATTATTCACCAAGTGTAATTTTTTACAGAAGTGTCTCCTATTAAGGCAGAGGGTAAATTGTTCCCTTACTTGCCCTGAAGCCAAAAGCTCATTTTACATCCTTTCAGTGATTCGAGTGGAACTGCATGGCCTGCTTTTAATTGTCTCAACTTTAGATTGTGAATGTGTTTTCCACTAGCCCTTTGAACTCAAAGCTATTTAAATGTTTCTCTCAAAAACATAAAAACAATCTTATGGACCCCAAACTTTTGAACAGTAATATACTGTATGTGTGTACTGTCATGTGACATTGTTATACTGTGGTTTAAAGTAATTAATTTAAAAGGAAGTTACATCCTTTCACAGTATGCACATATTTTACAGCAATTTCACATAATTATAGTAATACATAACATGAAGGAGATATGCAAATGTACTGAGAGGCATTTCTGCACCTGAGCACTTTAATGCATCATTTATTTGTTCATCTTCAGTTCGTGTAACCCTGAAGACACACAAGAGGATGCATTTTCTTTGCAAATAGAGGGGTCAGCATAAAATCCTCTACTTGATTGTGCACCAGTTGACGTCTAAATTTAGGATCTTCTGTGATTGATAGAGATAAACTGGTGTGAATCAGCCAAAGATTTAAGCATTACAACATCCTGAACACATCTTGAGGCAGAGGTGTATTTAAACACTTGATGGTTGCTGTTTGTTGACTGTACAGGATGCATTCAGGGCAAAACCAATAATCTGAACTGAAATATCCCGTAATTATATGGGAATCAGGTCATTATTAGGAGGATTTTTTTTAACACTATTCCTGCCCTACTGTTCCCAATAATTCATGTGTGCACTAATGCACCGTATGTGTTATTTTTTCAGTGGCATCCCTGGGAAGAATTGTGGTACAATTATTCTCACTGCAGAGGAACTTGGAAACTGTCGGGTAAGTCAGCAGTTTTACTTTATAATTGTTTTCTCAACCCCTTTTCTCTTCGAAATGCTTGCAACTATTCAGCAGTGAAAACCTTTTCTGAAATGATTCACTTTGATAAGAAAGCTGACTGTTATACTCTTGAAATCAGACCATTCACTGCCTGGTAGCCAAATACATTATTCCAGAAAAAATTTACTGGAATGTGCCTATGTCTGAAATATAAGTTATCTCTACAGACAAAAGGGAAACAACTTCAAAAACCATTTGAACACCAAAGCCATCTTTAAATACTTTTATTTCCATTTTACTGACTAAATGTTATAAAAGCTTAAATAATGGAATAACAGAAGCCATGGTATGTTTAGTCACATGTTTGCGTCATTATTTAATACTTCTAACATGCATTATTAACCGTCTTTTACACTGGCCATTTACATTCTGATTAACTAAATAAATACCAGAACATAGGCTTGATGGAGCAGCAGTTGAAAAGTTACTGAGCATTCAGTAGTGAAGATCACTGCAGCATTCCCCATTGGGTACTGTAAGAGCTTTTGATACAAATACACAGTGAAGGCTTTGTTTGTTTCCCTTGTTCTTCTGAATACTTTCAGCTAGTATTTTAAGACCAGCTCTTATTGAACCAAAGGATCATGAAATTGGCTTCAATGTTTTCAAGGAGGAACGATCACACAATGTAAAATTGCAGCAACTGGTGTCACAGCTTGAGTGAAAATAATCTTCTTAAAATTGCTTTAAAAAATCAAAGTGAGATAGGGATTGTGTGGCCTCTCTGAACCAATTCAAGGGTAATGGCGTCTTCCCTTAGAAGTCCCCTTCTAAGACCTGTTTGCTCATAACATGTTTTGATAGAGCTGCATTGATTGTCCTAAGGATCTGTAGAGGACCATGCATACGGCATCTAATATTCTGCTCATGCATTTTGAATTTGTTCTGACATCAGTCTTGATTGCTGTTGGATACTGAAGGATTCGAGATATTATCAGTGAATAGTACTAGATGGATATGATGAGAGGATTCTTATAAATGGGAGTGATGGCTTGGAAAAATGATAAGCAATAAAATACTAATTAAGTGGTATTTGAAGATATCTGGTTCTGTAGACATTCATATGGATTGCTGAAAATGTACGGTATCAGACCATGTAGTTTTTCCTACAGAATAGTATTTTATTTTTATATGCAAAACAATATAGAAATGTGTGCAATTTGTTATATTTATTATATATTTATTTATTATTTTTAATAAAAATATTTTTTACAACATTTAAATATTTAATTAATCATTTAAGGTTTTTATTTAATTACATTTTAAATATCATTAAATGCCCCCCCAAAAAGTATATTTTGCTATGCTTTGTCATATGAATCCTCAGGCAGTAATTCTTGAAATCTTGTTTCATTTCAAGTCAGACAAATGTTAATTCAGGATCCACTTTGATGGATTCAGTCAGTTTGTTCAGAGTAAAGGAGTTGAAAAAACTCTTTTAAATCCTTTTGTGGGATTCATTAAAATAATTGACTCATTTGTTAATAATTGACTACAATACTAGCCAGCAAAATCAAAGAAAATCATGTTTTATTTTGCAGTCCACAGTCATTTTATTTCATCATATTCTCTTTAGACTGCTTGGTAAAAAAATAACCATTCAATTTGTAGATTCAGTGGAGGAAGTCAAGACAAATAAGCTTCTATCTTCATCCCTACCATCTCTTTATCATGTCTTCTCACTGGAATGTTCCAGTTTTGTCCCTCTGTCTAGTAAAGTTTACTCTGTCACTGGTGATAGTACTCATTAAATTGCTGGAATAGCAGTGCAGAGTAAATTACAGGTTTTCTGGGTTGTAAATGGCTATGTTGCGTTCACTACAGGCTCAGACACACACAAAGGACTGCTCATTTGAGCCATCTATTGCACACACTCACAGCCTCACTCAAGCTTATTTGAAATGCTCAAAAAGCTTTTCCCCTCTGTGAGGGTAATATATTGGTACATCTGCTTATTTCACATGGTAGATCAAAAGATTTTACAGAATGTTATGAAAGGCTGGGTTTTGATCAGGTACACGCAAAGAACAGCTATGAGGAAATGCACCATGTGGAGACGAACCCTTTGCTTAATAGCAGGAATGAGGTTTGCAAATATCTTCAAAAGTCTGTTTCTTTTCTTTCCAAAAAGTTACATAGATGAATCCCATTCAGAGACCAGATAAAACCTGCAAACCCAAAATAATGAGTGAAATGTTTAATCTCTGAAGTACAATGTGGCCAAAGACGGTAGCTTGAGCTGTGATGTGAAGCACTTTGACTGACTGTCATTTATGACTAACTATGCTGTCGTATAAGTTGTGTTTACGGTTGCTAAAGAAAGAATTGCAATCAGCAAGAAGACTGATGCTCATGCTCCATTGCTCCAATTCGTAGAGGCCGGATTAAAAACAAGCAGGTTGATATTTCGCTTTTCTCTGCTCAAATTGTTTTCAGCTTGAATTGATCTTGCCACTAAGGTCCTATTCATGGGATCATAATCGCTGTGAATGCTTGGTTTTAATGGGTCTGTTAATCATGTGCAAAGCCCTCCACACACTGTGGTTTAGCTTCAGTCAAGAAACAATTCAAGCAATGTCTAATGAAAGGTGGTGCTCCCTCAGCCATCAAATATAAGGTGAATTGTCCCTATAGAGCGTGGAAATTCCCCTGGCCATTCCCCTGCATGTTCATCAGTAGATATACCATTAAGACTAATGACTTCGTATCAGTTAGACCTCACACCATACCATTATTGCTAATGAGGGTTGTCTCTATTGTGTTGATAACATCCCTCTGGCCTGAGAAGCCCCTAGCAAGCAGGTTTACGATGATGTCAGTCATTACTGGAGTGTAATTTGCAGTGTCAACTGCACATTGGATATCATGTGAATGATTGCTTTGGAAACGGTCTAGTTCTCTTTCAATCTCTTCTCTCACTCACTCTTCCTCTCTCCTCACTGACTCCAGCCTACAATTTCATCATTCTCTGAATGGCCCTCTCAATGCAAGATAGTGTTTAGCAGCTAATTGGTTCAAATGGAATTGATGCTTGTTGATGCCAGGCACAAATAAACGATTTGGGCCACAAAATAACCATTTAGGGGCCTCACACGTTTTTTTTCTTTATCCCAAGAAATTGCAGGTCATAATAAAATTATATTGGTATCTTGATTCATGTGGACTGTTATTTTAGTATTATACTATTGTTTGTCACAATCACCAGCTGGAGTGCTCTTGATGGCCACCAGAGGGCACTCCATCCAGTACCTTTGCCACTGTATCCTGGACTACAGTTCCCATTGCCCGAACTCATCATGCCTGATTGTTTTCACCTGTTGCTCATTGCCTCTGCCTATATAAGCCTGGTGTTTTCAGTAGTGATGGGACACTGAGACGTTCTGAACTGTTTGAGGTGTTCATGAAGTTGTGCTGAAAAATGATTCATTACTCGAAGCTTTTGTCACAATGTGCATTAGCGACATCTGGTGGTTAGACTTGGTTTCTCCACCAAATCTAACAAAACGTTGTGGAGCAGAGGGTGGTATTGATGGGAAACCGAGGCTTTCTGAACCATTTGAGGCTTTCATTAAATTGTGCCGGAAAAAGGTTCATTACTCGAAGCTTTTGACACAATGCGCATTAGCGACATCTGGTGATCAGACTTGTTTTCTCCACTATATCTAACAAATCAAAGCGGAGCAGAAGATATACGGTTTGCAAAATCACGTGACCATACAGAGCTTTGGAAGTCCATGACACACAAGAGTGGAATAAATCTGGGATCAGTTCCAACTAATCTGACATAATCTCATCTAAATTAATATGTGCCAATGAGACCAGAACTCGTGTCATGTGTAGCCTGGTCAACGGATTTGCATATTGATCAATAATATAAAATATGCAAGCATGTGATCATAGTTAATAATTGACCTAGGTAGCTGAAAAAAATAATTTGGGAGAGCTGTTTGACCATTATGTTGCTATAAAATATGATTCACTTTCTGTCCAGTGTTGAGGTTACAGACCCTTGCATCAGGTGAGGTCACGAAGCGCCAATTTTTCAAACCAGCTGTCCCGATCTTCCAATACTGCATGATGTTAGAAGCTTCAAACGTGGTATTGTCATTTCGATACAAACACCGGCACAGTGTGTGATACAATAGTGCTTTGAAAACTGCGTCGGAGCATCGGAGCCGCTGTATCAACCATCCCATCACTAGAGGATGGGTTGTGGCTAGAAGGGATACAGCAAAAATCGGAAGCTAACAGTAAATTAAATTCTACCTATTAGATTGTGTTTTATTAACATCTACACCTACCCCAACCCTAAACCTACCCCTTACAATAATGCAAAAATAGTAATTATTGTTGTACAGTGTAAGAAATTACGCTATATTGATGTGCACATGCCCAGTAGTTTTTGCTGTATGCCATCTAGCCTTAACCCAGAGAATGGTTTAAAAAACTGTGCCAACTCGTGTCATGCGTAGTCCGGTCAACGGATTCACATATTGATCAATAATATAAAATATACAAGTGTGGGATTATAATTAATAATTGATGTAGTAGCAAAAATATTTTGGGTGAGCTGTTTGGGGTCTCTGAGATCCCAGCTATAGAACATGATAAAATGCAATAGAGGTGTGAGGTGCATTCAGTTTCTGACTGGTGTTGAGGTTGTTCTAAACTATTCTACTGAATCCCAAAAAAGTGTACACACACACACACACACACACACACATACACAACCAAGTCAATTTAAGTCAAACACAAGAGTCATGCAAAGCGTAGTTTTTTTGCAAACCACCTTCCGATACTGCATGGCGTTCGAAGCTTCAAACATCATCAGTCGCGTGGTATTGTCATTTCAATACAAGCATCGGCACAGCATGTGATGCAATAGTGTATTGGAGCCTCGATATCAATCGTCCCATCACTAGTTTTCAGTCACTCTTGCAAGTCTTGCATGTGTCACAGCTGCAGTTCTAAGCATTTTATCCTGGTTCTCTCGTGTCCTGTTTTCCTGGTTCTTGATATTCTGCCTGTTTATCTGGATTACTCTGTTTGCCTCAGCTCTGAACTCTGTCATTGTTTGGATTGCTTATTGTGTTTGACCTCATGCCTGTTTTGACTACAATTGTGGGTTATCCTAATAAACTACTGCACTTGAATCCTCAGCCTTCGCTCATGACATTGTTACATTTTAGTATTTTTGGCACGTTTTAATATTTCTGTATTTAGCTGCCATGGCAACATTTAGTTTTTTTTAAGAACAATAACAGCACTGTTTATGTGTCAGTAAAGTGCATACTTATTATAAATGCAGTGATGATCAAATTACATTCTATTCAATATTATATACAATACAACAATAATTAATTTCATATTGTTGTCGATAATCATTATACAAATTTTTTTAATGTTTTTTTTGTGCAGATTTTCATAATTAAAGATGATTTTAGATAACCCTACCTCATGATAAACATGAATCTGCATAAAACTATTCCACTAAACAAAAACGTTACATAAACTACCATTGTGCCATTGGAAAAAGACAGAAAATTATGTCCATCAGGATGAAAAAATTACAGTCACAGTGTTGTAGGGGGATGTCAGTATTGACATGGTGTGAAATACTGTGATTAAAAAAGGGCTAGCCATAGTTTTTGAGAGCTAAATATTGAGCCACATTCAGGGTCAGTGGAAATTGTGGGAGGATTTGTTCATTAGCAAATTATTTATTTCAGAGTTGTTCAAAGTAGTTATTTTACCTTTTAAAACGTCTGAATGGAGTGTAGATGCAGGAGTCTGAAACATATGACTTCATAAAATGTGTGCGCATACAGTATGCGGCTGTGCTATATAGACGTGTTGGGGGGTGAATTGTGCCTGAGGGTCCAGAATATCGTCATTCTTGGCTGTGCAAGAAAAAGCCTATGTGTCTCTGATTTCACTAGATTTTGATGCCCTCTGTGCTATTTCTATCTTTTAACTTACATTTTTCCTTCCCATTCCCCCTTTTTCTTTGTTTCTTTTGTTCTTTCTCTCAATTTCACAGGACTGTGCAACAATGCAGTTCTGTGCCAATAAGCTGGATAAGAAAGACTTCTTTGGCCGCTCTGACCCGTTCATGGTGTTCTACAGAAGTAATGAGGACGGAACGTGAGTTAGCTGTCTTTCTCACTCTGATGTGCAGGCTGGAAAGCGTGTCGTCTTTTCGTAAAGTAATGTCCAAGGAAAAGTGAAGAAAATTGGTCTGAGACTAAGGAATGTCTTAAAATTGTTATAGATAATAAAATTCACTTAGTACTCTTAACTCAGTTAAGGCTTACAATGTGCAAATATTCTGACTGTAAAAAATATAGTCATGCAATGCATACTGCTTTGTTTGAGTTTAACATCTTTGCTTTTTTTTCTTAGGTTCACTATCTGCCATAAAACTGAGGTGGTAAAGAATACGTTAAACCCCGTCTGGCAGCCTTTCACCATTCCTGTCAGAGCGCTGTGCAATGGAGATTATGACAGGTACACTCACACATACACTCACAGACATGCATGTCAGTATGTACTGTACTGTCGCCAGTGTTTACAGGTCTCTTAGAATCATTTTAGCAATGAGGATTTAACATTAGATTGAGGATAAAAGCCCATTTGTGTGCATGCAGTGTTGTGTGAATTTTACCACGAGAACGCTGTTGTACCCGAACAAGACCCTGTGTATGTGTGTGTCGAGAGGAATCATGCCCCTGTGCTCTTTGATTCAGTAGCACATTGAGCCAGACTGCTGGTACTCATTGCATCAGCATTATTGGATCACAGACAGCCCTGTTCACGGTGCTGCACTGTTGTGATTTATGTGCCCTACAAGGACACATTATTTTTGCTTTGTACTTTCTGTGTTGCAGATATTTGTGTGTTTGCACTGCACTGTTTCTTCATTGGTCTCCATAGGCCTATGTACTATCCAGTGTGTGTCAATCAGTTTATTGTGATAATGAATATTTGGTAGGCTATACTTTTGTGTGCGTGTGTGTGTGTGTTCATTTTCATGGCCTAGGTGAGGCTTGCAGACATGTTGGCAGCTGTGTGTCGTCTGAGAGCTGTCATAGCCAATCAGAACACAGGGAACAGAAGCACCTGCCACCCAGTCCCCATCTTGCCTCTGATCCCGTATGTGTGAAAGAGACCAAGCAAAAGAGAGAAAGAAAAAGGAAACTCCAGCTGTTGTGGTGCTGTGCTAATTATTACCTGCTGCAAGGATGCCAGCAGAGAGGAGTATTTATATTGCAGTTGGGATATATTTTTCAACAAAAAATATCTGTAATAAAAGTTTTATTTTATACAGATCCTGATATATTGGATTGAGGTCAGAATAGGGTCAGTCTGTGTCAAATTTCAGAAACTAAAAATATGAAATGTCATGGATGAATATTTTCTGGGCTGGAATGACTTTAGAAAGATAGCAGCATCATTATGTTATTTTTTACACAGAGATTGGTTGGTCTGTGAGTACAATCTGTTGACTTTAGTTATCTTTGTTGCATTAAATACCAATGGTGACAGTTTATGCAGTTTCCATGCCTCACTCAATGAAGCCTAATTTAAGAAGTATTATAGGTAGCTCAGTAATGCTTTTCCCCATTTTTGAACTGTCACCATTGGTATATAATGCAACAAGGATTGCTAAAGTCAACAGATTTTACTGATATACCTATAAATCTCTGTGTAAAAATAAAATGATGCTTTCTAAAATTGTTTTGTCCTCTGTAATTTGGCTCAAAATCTCAGGTGAAAAGTTCCATTTTAACCCCCCTTCACAAAATAGTGCATTACACAGAAAATATTTATCCATGGCATTTAATATTTTGGCTTTCTTCTTCATTTACATATGTATTACACCAGGGGGAAAAAATAGCCATGGAATGACTGAAAAAAAAAGCAAATAATCATGATGTTCAAGCAATAATGTGGCAGAGAGTATGATATTTTGTCATTATTTGATTCATTTAAGAAACATCAAATGTGAAAGATTGCTGCTGTACTGATGATCAGCTTAGGTTGTGCTGATACAATTCAAAAGCTCAAATTGAGTTTGTTTTTAGCAGCTGTGACCATCAGTGTGCATCTTCTGGGTGTTTATCTTTCTTTTCACAGAAATACCTCTGGGTGGTAGAAAGTTGTGGAAGTTGTTTTCCAGTAGAATGTCATATAAAATAGTTATGTTTAGCACTGCAGTTTTAGTGTATAAATGTGTGCAGAAATTCTAACCAGACTACGCATTCTCCTATATTTTTCTAGTGTTTTCTGGTTTGAATTGTGAAGAATATATTTTAAATATTTTAAACTTTTTTTTATCATATTAAAATATACGCTACTGTTCAAATGTTTGGGGTTGGTAAGATTTTTGAATATTTTTGAAATAAGTGTCTTATGCTAACCAATGCTGCATTTATTTGATCAAAAACACAGTAAAACTAATTTTGTGAAATGTATTTATTACCATTTAAAATTACAATTATTAAAATGCAAAATAACTGTTTTCTATTTGAATCTATTTTAAAATGTAATTTATTCCTGTGATGGCAAAGCTGAATTTTCAGCAGCCATTACTACAATCTTCAAAGCCACATGATCCTTCAGAAATTATTCTAATATGCCAATTTGGGGTGCAAGAAAAAATTCTTATTATTATCAATGTAATATGTGTGTATATACAGTATATACAGTATATATATATATATATATATATATATATATATATATATATTTTTTTTTTTTCAGGATTTTTAAAAAAATTTAAAGAACAGCATTTATTTGAAATAGAAATCTTTCGAACAATTTAAATGTCTTTACTGGCACTTTTGATAAATTTAATGCATCCTTTCATAAAAGCATTCATTTCTTTAAAAAAGGACCCCCAAAAATTTAACAATAGTGTATATAACATAATTTTATATAATATAGTTTATCTCCACTCCAGTGTATTAATGTGGTTTCACAATATATTTCAGAGTAAACATAAAATTAACTGTGGTTGGTCACTTTACATGTCAGTCAGACTCTTGGCTAGAATACGCTTCTTTGTGAACCGGACCTTTTGCTATTTAGTTAAAATTTTGTGAAACTACTGGTTGCCTGTATGCAGAGAATCTGAGTACTGATAGACAGAATGTGTGCCATATGATCTCTGATGAATCTGCTACATCTGTTCTCTTACTCCAGAGCTGAACCAGTCTGCTTTACCAACAGATGGAGAGTTTCCCCATGTACTCTATGGAATTACTCAGTAGAGGCTCTGTGTTTAGGTCCATTCTTTCATCCCAACTCAGATGATAGTTTTGTGCCACTGAAGTTTCATTACTACCTTTGCAGAGTAAACAACCAGAGAACTATTCCAATCAAGCATCTGTACAAAATCATAATTTTCATCCTGCGACCATGGATATGTCCTGATTTACCATCACATTTCCACTTTTTGTAGCATAATCATGTGAAAAAATAAACAAGTCTGCTGAAAAGACCGGAAGGAATTTCCATCAACCTGCATGGTACTTCTGGTGAAGCTTGTTGGCCAATGGAGGCTTTCTGTTTAAGCTTGTAGTTAAAGGGCCAGCTCACCTAAAAATGAAAATCTGTCAACATTTATTATGATGTCATTCTTAAAAATAACTAAGATATTTTGAAGAATGTATCAGTTTTTTTTAAACTGTCCACATAATGAAAGTCAATGGAATCCAATTTTGTTTTGTGATTTGCATGGGCACAAAAGCTGAAAGATTTTTGAAAATAGCTTCTTTTGTGTTCTACAGAAGAAAGAAAATCATACAGATTTTGAAACAAAATGAAGGTGAGTAAATGAAGACAATTTTCATTTTTGGGTGAACTATCCCTTGAAGTAGGAACAACAGCATCCAAAGCACAACATACATTAGACTAGTTATTAACAGGGAAGATGAATGATTGGCTGAATTGTGTGTAATGTTTTACAGTTGCCTTTTTTTGTTTATTAATTTTCATCGTAGCAGTAAATTCAAGCACATCCCTGCATTTTGTCATAACAAGTGTGCAGTGGTGTATAAAGTACCTGAAAGCCATACTCAAGTAAAAGTAAAGATATCTTACCAGAAAATTACTTTGGTAGAAGTTGAAGTCACCGTTTAGAATATTACTCAAGTGAAAGTCGTAAAGTATGTGATATTTATTGTACTTAAGTATGAAAAGTATTTTTAAAATATTAAACGTACTTAAGTATTGAAAGTAAAAGTACAAGTAAATGCAAAATGGAAAAGAAGCAAATAAATATATATTAAAAAAATGTTCATACACTGCTTGAGTAGCAAGATTGTGTTCAGTTTTAATTCTTTCTTCCATTTTGTATTTTTGGGTAAGAATAAGAAGCACTTCTTCCGGTACTTAGTGTCTTTCATTCCAACATAAGAAAACATTTCTGGAATCTGCATCTGAAATAGCATTTAGATGTATTTACACAATTTAATGTATCTCAGAGAGGACATGGATGCATTTAACATGCAGTTACAGATGGATAAATAATGTTTTGTTTTTAACATAAAACGTTGAATACTGTTATTTGAAATTATTTTAAAACATTAAAATAGTCGAAATGTGAAATTAAAACCGCCAGTAGGTGACAGAAAGTGACTGTTATTGAGTGAGTCATTGAGATCCAACCGATTCGTTCACACGGCTGATTCATTCAGAAACAAAGTATTTAACTGTGTTAATGAGTGAATCACTGAATCATTTATTCAACCCATTCGTTCAAAAAGCTGATTCATTCAATAAGTAAACACTGTGACGCAAAACAGTGCTGTGATATTCGTTTGGAACTATTTTCGTTGGCAAAATTGAGCAAAAACAAGCAATATTATGTCTAAAATGTAAGTCACTTATTACTAACTTTACTGAACTTGTATAAAATTATTATTAAATTTGTTATCATGCTGATATCTGCAGAAAAACGGTACTCTTTGCGTGATATAGATTAAGTTAACTATATTAAATTACATAAATATAAAAAGCATACAGAAGCATTTTTGCCATCTACAATTTAGAATGCCTTGAATTTTTTGTTTTAATAGACTAATAAAATCACTTGCATGCACTCTGTGTGTGTTATTTGGCGATAGATAATGTCAGATCGCACATCTCAACACTTACCATATTATCGCTGAAGATATAATGTATGTACTTGTTTGCTCATGAGCAAAGGTGTTTTTAGGAGTCTAACTTGCAAACACCAGACCACTGATTCGTTAAACCTGGGGCCTGTTCCATGATGGTGGCTGAACAAACTCGGGGTTACAGGATTAGTTTTGAGTTGACAAAACCAAACCAGTCCAATCCGGCTTTGTTGGTACCATGAAACTCATCATCAACTTTCTCTGTCAACTCAGGCTTGATCCTGAGTTAATGGAGCATGTGCACATGAAAGAGTGACATCAGTAATTAACAGCCAATCAGATGCCTTGAAACTGTGATTCACTTCTTGAGAGAAAGTCAGTGCGATTCACTACCAAAGATTAAAATATTGAACAATATGAAGAATTTAAACACATTTACTAGATGAAAAGATCTATCCATGAAAGAGGAAAACTTAAAGAAAACATCTTGCCTTATAAGTGCAAGTAAAGTTAGTTCATAGAGTTGATAATATTTATAGGTATAAAAACACTTAAAAATCTAAGCTCATATGTAGTCATGTTTAAAGCTATTGATTCTAAAACGTATTTATATTGCATATTATCTATATGTTTATATTAATTTAAAATAAAAGTTTAATAATTACTATTAAACTAAGCTAGCTTGTGTAATGGATTAAGGGTATAATAATTATATAAATTATATATAATATAATTATAAAAAATAATCATCTCTAAATTCAGACAATTTTATCTTTAAAAATGTTTTACTATGTAGCGTCCTTTAATTTGGAGTAAGAAAAACTGGGGGAGTGGCTTTATTGCGTCAGACATGTGTCACTTTGCTTGAAGCTGATTGGTCAAATTTCGCTTTGCGATCTCTAAACCAGAACATAACCTGTCCCAGTCAGAGCAGGTTAGCTGTGGAGTGTAAGTTACTAAGGCAATGAATGCCGCTAAAAGCCAAGCCACTTTCATGGTACCTAAAACCTAGGATTGGTGCAAACTAAACTGAAATTTACCTGGCTAGCCAGCTAATCTGGCTTCATGGTACAGGCCCCTGCTTCCCTGCAGTCCGTGTTCTTCTGACTTCTGACTATTTTGTAGTAAGTAACAAATATGCTTCGGGGAAATGTATCGGAGTAAAAGTATACATTTTAATTAGGAAATGTAGTGAAGTAAATGTAAAAGTTAGCTGAAATATAAAAACTCAAGTAAAGTACAGATACTCCCAAAAAATACTTAAGTAGGTACTGTAACGAAGTATTATTTCTTCGTTACATTACACCACTGCGATTGTGTGACATGCTTCAGCGCCAAATGCCATTTAGAGCTATTAGCCTACCCTCGAAAGCCATTTTTATTAACGAGGCTACAAATCTCAGCTGTCTCTGTGTAATTGATCACGTTAACTTGATTTGAACAGAATTAGTTTCTAATTATTCAAAACTTCAGATGTAATTAATGTTTAAATGAAACTCGCCTGCGTCCTGTCAGGTGATGCTCCACAGCTGCTCCACAGCCCGGGAGTTCAGTCCCTGCCGACCGTTGTTTAATTCCAAGTGCACTGTCTGGATAATGGCCTGTAATTGGTTGGTTTTAGCATGGAGATGAAAAACACAGTGAGACTCTCAGGCCTGTTTAAACCAGAAAGCATCCATCAGTTCAGCTGCCACTTTCTTTTCGGTGTTTGAAATATTGCAAACCGTGTTTCTAAATGCTGTGTTTTAAATCTTTCAGGTCAATTAAAGTGGAGGTGTACGACTGGGACAGAGATGGCAGGTAGAGAAACACACACATTTGCTTGTTTTACACACTGCACATTTATGTAATATATTCTCCTATGTACAGTATAGTATGCATTTGGTACACCCTACAGAAAGGCACTTTATTTTTTCAAATCATAATTTTTCCTTCATAATGTAGCAACAAAATTTCTCTCTAGCTTCCTGTAGTCAGCTCTGCTCTAAAATACCCGGCAGTAACAAATACTGATCACTCCAGATTTCATATAGAAGTTCAAATCCATTTATCTTCATCATCACAAACAGTAAGAGTCTCTTTGTCGTTCTTTGTGCTTCAGTCATGATTTTATCGGGGAGTTCACCACCAGCTACAGAGAGCTCTCTCGCGGCCAGAGTCAGTTCAACGTGTATGAGGTGAGTTCACTGAAGCAGATACTGATCCATTGATCATCAGACAATCTCTTGTATTCGGATAAAGGAGTAATTCTTGATTCATGAATTTATGATGTCAGAAAAATAAATTAAGTCAGTGAGTCAGTTTTGACTAATATAAGGGAGACTGCACTTAGTTTGAATATAACCTTAATATTCAGAGTGTTTGTTCAATAAGTGGTTGTTCAAAATATTATAATTATAAAATGCATACATTATTTAAAAACGTATATATTTATATGTCTGAACAGCAACAACAACAACTATTATTATTATTATTAATAATAATAATTTTGTTTTAATGTTGTTGTTATTTAAATAGTAATAATACTGTAATAATACAGTTTTAATGCTGTGCCGACCAAACCGACATCCTGGACCAGCCATGTTGGAGGTGGTTTTAGTTAATAATGAACAAAATGTAGGAATATTTTGTCTAACTTGAGCTTTCATTTGCATGAAGTTGGATTTTATTAAAGGGGTCATATGATTTGTAAGGGAAACAGGTCAATTTAGCTCAAAGGGAATCATTTAAGATTTTAAAGGGAATTTGGACAGAATCACTGTTTTACGGCTGATCACTGAGACGGCCAGCGATTCATTGAACGAGCCGTATGACATCAATTCTGCAATGGATATCAATATCCAAAATATAGTGAAAACACTATTAATTAGTACAGTAACAAGATCGGCAGTTTAAGACATTAACTTGTGAGCACAAAACACAAGATACTTCTCTTTTCAATATAAATGAGGCTTTATTGGATAAATCTAAGACATATAAACTAATCTAACACATAAACACGCATTCACACAAGTTGCAGAAAGAGAGAAAGTGAGGAAAGAATGAGCCGGCACCAACGTAACAAATGTTTGTAGGTCGGGAAGAAGGAGCGGGAACCGGCGAACACTCAAAGAAACTTTAATAATAAAATAAAACACAAAATAGCGCGACAGCCCCTCGCGGACGACTGCCGTGGGGCATAGAGGACCTACAATAATGTACAGTATTTGAAAAATAATGTGTTTTTTAACATTAAAGCATGCCAACATACTCTGTTACACCAAATACACAAAATAATGATCTTTAAAAAAGCATCATATGACCCCTTTAATGTCTATTCCATGAGAGATCCAGCAAGCAATGAAAATTGCACAATTTCAAGTCTCCCTTATTCGCTCTCTGTGATTATCACACTTTGTCTGCCAGCAAGTACAGCAGCAGCAAATGAGTGTGAGAGATTGTTTTTCAGTGTTTATGGAAGAGAGCAAGAAAAAAAGTAAGGGCAATGAGACAACGGATGACAGGGTACAAAGCGTGTGTTTATGTGAGAAAGAAGGAGAGAGAGTAACAGACAGCTATGTGGGGGTGAGGAGTGTGTATAAATGTGCCGTGTGTGTGTGTGTGTGGGGGTGTGTGTATTCACCCTAGCATTAGCCCAGTGGTGGGGTGAGGGGGTGGTGAGATGTTCTACAGGAGTGTGACAGTCTCAGTGGTGTGCTGAAAGGATCCAGGGTTTCCTGGGGATTGAGTTGGACAAACAACACTAGAAGCTGCGGTGTCGGTTCAGTTAAACCCCAATCCATACAAATCACATCATCTGTGTCCTGGTTTCCAAACTGTTAGCCAAGGTTGTGTATGTAACCGACCTGAACTGGATTTCTCAAAGCATCTGAACACTTAGATCAGTTGTGTCTTTGAAAGTAAGTGAAACAGAAATGACTAGCAGACTGGAAATGATCCAGTAGCAGTGCTCTCAAATTCTCTTCTTTTGGACAAGTAACGGGTCTAATGAGAACCATTTTCTCTCATTCTGTCTCTCTCACACACTCCCACTCTTCCTGTAAATGTCATTTCTACATTTTCTTTTTCAGGTGGTGAATCCTAAAAAGAAACTTAAAAAGAGACGATACATCAACTCTGGCACAGTGAGTAGTGAATTTGCTATCCTAAAATCCTGCACAAATCAGTACTTTTTGTCTTGTTTTCCAGTACAAACATTTACACATGCTACATTTACCTTAAAAGTAATACTGCATAAGATAATAAGATTTATTTTCAATATATCTTAAATTAAGTTTACATTTCTTATGATACTGTCAAATAGTTTTTCTTGCTTAAAACTGAACTAAATTTTGTGAGGTTTATGCCAAAAACAAGAAAAAATTATATTTGGAAAACATAAACAATAAAAATAATTCAAGAGATGTTCTTTGAAAGCATGTTCTTCTTTTACAGAAAAATGCTTTTCTCTCTTTAACAACAGTGCTATTTTAGTATTACTTCTATACTATTATAGTATTTTTTAATATTTTTTAATAAATTGAAAAATTTTATTAATAGCTTTTATATTTGTATTTTCATTTTTAATCTTTATTTGAGTAATTCTATGTTTTGTCATTTGTATTAGTTTTTTATATTTCTATTTAGCTAAATTTTTTTATTTCTATTTTTTTGTAATTTTAATAAATCATTTTGTTTCTGTTAGTTGCCAGTGGAACATTTCTAAGTATCAAGTTTTAAATTGTACATCTAATAATATATATACTGTATATATATATATATAATTTTATTTTATCTTAGTTTTATTTCAGAATTATTGTCAATTTCAGTTTTAGTTAACAATAACAGCAATTTTGCTTCTCAAGTGAATTTGATCCTGTCTTAAGGATGCTTAGATTTTTTTTTTCCAGAAATCTAGACAAAAAATTTTTTTTTGCATTGTATTCACTGAATTCTTACATGGATTAATTTTGCCCAGCTGTACTCCACAAGGACTCTGAACGTCTGGATATTATTAAGATAAATTAGTTGAGAATCTGAGATCCAAGTCCCCTGACTGAATAGTGCTTTCGGTTTCTGATAAGGAGAGCAGTGAGGAAGTAATATTGGAGGTCCAGGTGGGTAACAGTGATTGATGATCCACAAAGTCTCTCCGCATTGACTGCTTTGAATTGGCTTTGAGATTGTAATCAAAACTCAAATGAATAGTCCATCACCTGTCTTCCTCCCAGCATGGAAAGAGTCTGGTTCTCTAATGGCAGTAATAATGAAAAAGACTGTGTGACCCTGACAGCTGAGAGAAGAGTCTTTGCATAATGCCATGATGGATCATGGCAGATGTGGTTTGTGCTCATATGCTGGTGTAAACCGTCTGTTCTTTGTTGTTCAATTACCCAGGTGACACTGCTTTCATTCTTGGTGGAAGCCGAACACACGTTCCTGGACTACATCAAAGCAGGGTACGGACGAAAATACACACAATCACCCTCATGTAAGCGTATGTACTGTATTTAGACTTTTCTAAATGCTTCTGAAATTGCCGCGTCACAACATGTAATTTTTGTAAACATTCTCAGAGGATGTAAAGGTCAGAATCTTGCTGAAGCCATCAGGATGTTATCACAGTAATGGCATCAACAGCTTTGGATAAGAGCTCCGGTAAACAAGACCTGAATAGCCACTTAAATGTTAAACTAGAACAACAAACACGGCTATTGTAGTAGTTACTGTAATCAGCATTCAGGGGTTGCCAGGTCCTCTTCAGTTTGCACTGATGAAAGTCTGGCCTTTGGCACGGATGCCAGTATTGTGGAAAACTTCTCAGAGTCTTCGACCATATACTGTGGTCTGATCCATTGATATCTCTGGCATTAGGAAATATGACCTCCTGCCCCTCTGTGTCTGTTATCTCTGGCATAAAGGCTGCGTCCTAAACCTGAAAAATGCTGCACTGACAGGCAGTATCTGGAGGAAGGAAGGCAAGTCCGAATCCAAGGTTTGAATAAAATCCTGCCTAATAAGATACCTCCATCTGATCGATTTTTAAAACTAGTGATGTACAAAAAACTGTGGTTAAAAGAAGCAAATATGTATTAATAAATGTTCTTGAATATTCAAATAAATAATATTAATTACAACATGTTGAAACGTTTGTAAGATTTAAAAAAAATAGATAAATACTTTTATTCAGCAATAATGCACTAAATTGTTAATAGATAACAGTGAAGACTTTTAGATTGTTACAAAAACATTTATTTAAAATAAATGCTGTCCTTGGAATGATTTATGAAAGGTCATGTGACACTGAAAACTGGCTGCTGAAAATTTAGCCTTACTATCAAAGGAATAAATGACATTTTAAAAGATATCAAAATAGAAAACAGCTGTTTTAAGTTGTAATTTTTTCACAGTATTACTGTTTTTACTGCATTTTTGATCAAATAAATGCAGCCTTGTGACAATAAGAGACTTCTTACTGACCCAAACTTTTGAATGCTAGTGTGAATGTCTATTTATATGAAATTAAATAATATTAAATAATATAATTATTAATATAATTATATAATAATAATAATAATAATAACAATAACAATAATAATATATTTTTTACAGAGAAGCAAACATTGTAATTATTAAATATTTACCTGGTTGTTTCTAAAGCTTTCTTAAATTCGTTGTAGATCATTAGATGTTATTGTTCCTTGGACGCATCTTCATTCATTATATCTTCATACTATTTATTAGGCAGTATTTGTTTAAAGAAAGAAAACAGCAACACTTTAGATTAGGGAATGCATATTTGTGATTTAAGAGTTTTCCCTTTATAAATTCCTAATTACTGCTTATTAGTACTTATTAATAATAAGTAAGGTAGTTGTTGTTGTAGTTGTGTTTAGGTATATTAGGTGAAGTTAAGGGCTCATGAATATGGTTATGCAGAATAAGGCATTAATATGTGTTCTGTAAGTACCAATAAACAGCCAATATGCTAGTAATATGCATGCTAGTTTGCAACTAGTTAATAGTGAATAGTGTTCCCTAATCTAAAGTGTTACCAAGAAAACTGTGGTTTGCAACCTGTCTTTTGTGTTGAGTGAGTAATGATGGGCTCTCTTTTTGGTTCTCTGTTGGTTCAAGGATAAGATTCAATAATCAACTTAAAATCAGACTCATCTGCTTTATCAGCTGTAATGTGTGACTACAACAGCAGGTAATTAATCTGATAACCTTGCTTAATGTTTTGAATGTTCAGCTCTCTCAACCCTTATCCAATATTGATAAGTTCCTGCCATGGTTCCTGTCCCATGCCTAAAGATACTAGTGTGTCCCATCCTGCTGGAGACTGATATCACCCAGTATCTCTCACTTTGTTTTTTTGTGAAAACTGTGATACATTTTTTCAGGATTTTTTGATGAATAGAAATGTCAAAATAACGGCAGAAGAAATCTTTTGTAACATTATAAATGTCTTGTCACTTGTGATCAAGTTAATGCATCCCTGCTGAATAATAATTTCTTTCAGAAATGAAAATTGTGAATAGTACTGTGTTACGGCCAAAACAAAAGGTACAAAAGTTGTCTTTTCAAAATGTATAATTTAGGTACTAATATGTACGCTTTAGGGGTAAATAAGGTACAAAGGTGTACCTTATTCAAAGGTACCACTCCAGTGACAGCTTTTGTACCTTTTTTCTAAGAGTGTAGGGTTTAAAATAAATGTGGCAAAAGCCTTAAAATAAAAAACAGAGAGGCAAAGTAATAAAGAAAGCGAGAGTGTAAACAGTCTATTATCTGTGACTATCCAAAGACGTGGCTGACCTTTCACACCGGAGTAATCTATATCTCTCTGACATCACCCTGTGTGCCACGTTCAGTTCACACCGAGTCAGATCACTCTGTCCACACTCAAACTGCTTTCTGTCAGGTTTTCACCTTTGTTATTTTTCTCCATCAGACTCTGACCTTTAATATTGACGCTGAAAGCAGACCTTTGTATGGATTTCCCATTGCTACACATTTCACTTTCCTCTTTCCGCTTTATAAACAGGACTATATATAACCCTCTTCGTTCATAAATCATCATATCCTGGTTCAGAGAGAGATGGGTTCTCTTTTTACTGCTGCGAATGATTTAAAGAATCATATCTTAAGAGAGAAGTGTTAATTATAGTGCAGGTCATAAAGGTAGCTCTCAGAGTTAATGTAAAATTTAAAACCTTTTCTGAGGACCTTATTAAATGTTTAATCATGTTTTTGAAAAAAAAAACGGACTGCAGGAAGAATTTCAGTCTAGTTATTCACATTTACATTAAGCTCAGCATTTATTGGTAGAAATATATTTCTTCAACAGAGAACAAAGACTCTTTAGACAATAGACACACAATGAGACAACTGTTGACAAAGTCGAAATAATACAGATTTCAGTTTAGAGTAGTTTAGCTTAGATAATTTAGTCTTGGTAGAATTTGTTGAGAAATAATTGTGTTTATACTGAAATCTTTTACTTTTGCGCAGTTTTTAAGTTAATCTGAGCACAGTTTGTGATTTTGTTGAGATCTCCTCTGAAACCCTAAAGGAGACACACAAGATTATGTGGACTTTTTCTTAGGAGTAAAACCTGAGAAACGGTCTCCATTGATCTCCATTATTTTTGATCTATTTCATTGCCTTCTAGGTTAAATCGTTAAGATTAGATTTGTGATTAATTTCCAATGGGAGATACAATAGAAAGAAACATAAGTACCTTTTCATGGAAGTGTGATGCTTTTGTTCTTTCTTATTGTCTGCAACTAATCTTAGTGAAGCACTTTTTTATAGGTGATTAGATCTTTAGAGGTCTCTTGACCTCTTCAGATTGCACTTCATCCTGGGCCAGAACGAGACATTGTGTAAAATGTCATTGAAGAATTCATAAGGGGAATCTAGCCTTAGAAAGACACAAGACATTCATAACCATACAGCGAGGAAATACAAAACTACTGCATTGCAGAAATGTGTGTGTTCCTGAATCAAGTTGCACATTAGTACATTTACGAGATATATATATAAAATGTCAGTGCTTTTTGCATTCATTGGATCAAAAGTGTTAATTTGTCATGAATGTAAAACACATCTGTCTGCACTGTTGCTAATGTGACAGTCACAATTCCATCATTCTATATCATTCTATTCTAGCTGTTTTTTTCACTCCTATAAATGACATTCAGAATTCCACCATTAAGATAAATGTTCTTCATATAAAAGCTCCGGTCCAAAAGCTCTCTAAGGTTTCTTGTCTCCACCAAAGTAGCTGTTAAGATTCCCGGTATAATGCATATTAATGCACCAGTCCCGACTTTGTGCCTGGGGATATCAGTGATAATCAAAAAAAAAAAAAAAAAGACAAACAACTAAAAAAGAAAAAAAAAAAAACCTTGAGATGGACAGAAAAAAGGAATGAAGATAAAGGAGCATAAACAGAGCTTGTTAATCACCATTGTGCTGCTCCCCCCTCCTTCCTGTTTATGTTGTGCTGAGTTAAATAATAATAAAAAATGGTTGGGAAAATGGATTCACTTTTTTGGTCCATACCCATGGTCTTTGCATAAACACAAATACCCTTGTGTTGCATATGAATATGATTTGGCCTGAATCCCTCATTGGTGGTCATGTTTGCGGATGTCCAGTGGATGTTTAAAATACATAATTACTCTCTGCTGACCCATCACTGATGAATCAGCTCATAGGAAAACATCTCGCCGCAGGGGTTGCATATGAATGACAGCTGTAGCCGCCTTATGATTAGAGCCTGCTTTGAAATGGTTTCCCCCCATTTCGTTTTTGTGTTTTACCCACTTGCATCAGAGGATGATTTCTTTGTCTGTGTGGAAATGTTTTATAAATATTCACTGACCTAATACTCCATGTTTTCCGACATTCTTGTCCAGAGCTAATTTCTCATTTGCACTGAGAGTACAGCAGGGTTCATGCTGAAAAGGGAATGCCATTGAGATTCAGATATTAGATGTCGTTATGATATTTTTCAGTGCTTCAGATGTTATCTGTACAAGTGTTCGTATAATCCGTTCCCATTGTACAGGTGTTCAGATTAGCCATTTGTTTTCTGTGGGCTCAGTGCTTTCTGTTAATTTAAATGGAGATAAACAATAGCAAACTAAACTCTTGTTCAAAAAAAGACAGCATGTTACTTGTAAAAAAATCCATTTAGATGTTTTATGGCCATTTAAAAATGCCCATATTAGAATCTGTAACTGATTTTGGTATATTTTAATTTCAGTTTATTTGTATAGCACTTTTCATTATTATTATTATTTTTTTTTTAATGCTATCTGAGATGTGTTAGTGGAAAACTGACTGAAAAGTTCAGGGAGAACAGGACTGGGACTTTAAAACCAACCAAAGTTTAACTTGAACCAGGAATAAACTGAACATTTTAAAGTGAAAATTTAATTTCATAAAAATATTTCATTAAAAAATGTTTTGTAACTAGTAAGGTATTAAATTGCAAATGCAATTTTTACTAGTAGCTTTTCGACCCCACTGTGTGTGTATATATATATATATATATATATATATATATATACACAGTGATGTACATTATGAAATATCTTCTTTGGATTGCTTGAATGAAATTGTCATTCACAGGACTGTTATTTAAAAGACTCTGATGCTCTGATGCCCATTGAACTGTAGCTATCATAATCAGTGGGTAATCACTGGCTCCATACTGTGTCCGGTGAATGTACTGTCCTTCAGCCAGTCTCTCTGCACGATAAGCATCAGTAATCCAGGACTAAGCTGGAGTTCCCACTGATTTCAGTATAAAAACAGAGTTGTGAGCAAATCTGTGATGTTTGGTAATTTTGTATTTGGAAGTCTTCCTCGACTGCTGTTGTGAGACCAGTTTCACTGGTGCCCTAATTAAAAAAAAAGTGGAAAAAGAAGTGGGTTTACACAGATGTTGGATCTGCCCACCAGGCTGAGTTGATTGTGAGGAACGTCTGGCTGCTGAGCAGGAGGTTGGCTGTCTGCCTGTCAGGTGAGAGAGAAGACACAATGCAGGGCTGGAGATGGTAATTACACCAACCTCTCGAACAGCGGGAGTGGAAACATTGGAGTGTTTTGAAGCTGGAAATGCGATCTGTGCCACAGTTTGGGGTGAATCAGGATCTATCACCTTTGTTGAGCCTCACTGTCAGGTTCTCACATCTGTAATGTGTGAAAAATTTGGCTTAAATTGAAATGCTTTCATTCTTACTTTCTCTTTTTGTCTCTCTCTAGCACTCAGATCCATTTCACAGTGGCCATTGATTTCACTGCGTCCAATGGTAAGTTTTTTTTTTTTTGATTGTGCTTCCTGTTTTGGATTTGTTCTCTGTGCTGTTGACCAACAGGTCTGAATAAGATTTTAATCTTGATTTATGTTCTGTCTCTCTCTTTAAACCCTAGGGAACCCTTCTCAGTCTACCTCCTTGCATTACATGAACCCCTATCAGATGAACGCGTACGCCATGGCGTTGAAGGCCGTCGGCGAGATCATTCAGGACTACGACAGCGATAAGATGTTTCCTGCATTGGGCTTTGGAGCCAAACTTCCTCCAGATGGCCGGGTTTCCCATGAATTTCCCCTGGTACCTGTTCCTAGATATGATAGATTATGTGGATTTCACAGCTAGCTGTCGCATATCCAGAGTCATTTCTGTTCGAATCCTAAAATACATGCCGTGTTTTTCAGACACTCTGAATATCATTACTTTTTCCTGTTTGTGAAATTTAATCTGTGAGGGTATGTATGGTTGTTTTGAAGTATTTGTTTAGTTGTTTGCTCATATGTTGATGATATCGTAATTAAAAATGCTTGGTTATATCTATATGTAATGTGTAAATAAGGCTCTCCAGACGCTCCTGCTCATTAACGTTACCCAAGCATTCATGATGATTGTGTGTCAAACCGTCATCTCGTTGAGCATTTTGAGTCTCTTAATTAGTTTTTGCCCGATTTTTTCCTCCATCGGCTACTCTTCCTTCCACTTCTTTTTCCTTGTGCTAGAACTTAGGATCATGACTATTCATTCTTGCTGCTTCACTCTTCAAATATCACTGTCCTTAGAGCATGTATCATAAAATACTGAACAGATTCTCAGATCCCTAAGGGCGACACGCTAGAGAAAGTTTTGACAGTAAATTTGACAAATATGAATGTGCAAAATGGAATTTTAGTATGCAGAAAGAATCATGAAAGAACCTGTTTTTGGTTGCATTACTTTTTTTGGCTTCCCTTCATGTCCTTGAAATGCCATTGAAATCCACTCCATTAAAAACTATCACCATTGAAATCAACTGATTTGCAGTTGAATTCACTGAGGCGGCACAAATTCTAGTGTGTAGACACCCTAAAGAACATCAAATACTCTATACTCTAAAGTTTTATATTCAAATGAATAATGACATATATCTTGTAAAATGTAAAGTGTTATAAATCTCAGAATCAGAAAGAGCTTTATTTCCATATTTGTGGAACACATACAAGGAATTTGTTTTGGTGACAGAAGCTTCCTCAGCTCAAACAGAATGACAGTGACAAGACACAGATAATAAAAATAGTTAATAGATAAGTAAATAGGAAATACAAATATACAAAAAATATTTACCTTGTATTTCATCAGAGTAGAACTGTATCAGCAGCTCCTGTGGCAGGCTGAACTTCTCAGCTGGCGAAGGAAGTACAGCCTCTGCTGGATCTTCTTGACAAAGGAGTCTATTGGCGCTTTTTCACTGTGTGGTACAACTCAGCTCGGCATGGCTCAGTACGACACGTCACGGCTCAGATCAGCTCAGCTAGGTTTGCGTTTCCACTGCAGTTTAGTATCGCTTTAGAGTGGGCGGGATTATTCACATGTCGTTAGTTGCGCCGCCTATACTGCCACGACTCCTGAAAAACGTTTTCATTCCGCGTTGCCTCATCAAGCTCTCGCTGGATCCGCTCCTCTGCTATCAACGAGTGGAACGTCTGTACTTACTCAACAGACAACGAAACAGCCACTTTTTGGTTGTTAAAAAAGGTGCTCTCGTTCAAAACAGTTGCGTTCGATCCTTCGCTGGCTGTGTTGATTTAAATCTAGCAGTTCTGTTGTGTTTGTGTCGCAAGTTCAGTGTGCAGGTAGTGACGATTCTCTCCGGCCAATCCGTGATCAGCAGAGTTTACACGTAACGGTACGGTTCACTTGGAACCTCAACCAAGGTGGTACTAAAAAAATTACCAGGTACCAGGTACTGTACCCAGTGGAAACCCCCCCAAAAGTGAACCGTACTGAGTTGTACCATGCCGTACCGTGCAGTGGAAAAGCACCATATGTGGAACTCCCACTTCAGGTCCTGAGAGATGGTGGTGCCCAGGAACTTGAATGACTCCACTGTTGTTACAGTGCTGTTCGTGATGGTGAGTGGGGGGAGTGCAGGGGGGTTTCTCCTGAAGTCCACTATTATCGCCACTGTTTTGAGCGTGTTCAGCTCCAGGTTGATATAACTGCAGCAGACAGCCAGCTCTTAAACCTCCTTTCTGTAAGCAAACTCGTCTCCGTCCTGGATGAGGCCGATAAGGGTGGTGTCATCTGCAAACTTCCGGAGCTTGACAGAGGGGTCTTTAGAGGTGCAGTAGTTGGTGTACAGGGAGAAGAGCAGTGGGGAGAGAACACATCCCTGGGGGACACCACTGCTGGATGAGAATTTTCCCAGCCTTACTAGCTGCTGCTTGTCTTTCAAGAAGCTGGTGATCCACTGATAGATGGAGGTGGGCACAGAGAGCTGAGTTAATTTGGACATGAGGAGGTTTGGGATGATAGTGTTGAAGGCTGAGCTGAAGTCCACAGACAGGATCCTCACATCCTCACAGGACCCTGCACAGCTCCAGTGATCTTTTGAAGATCTTTGTGAAAATGGGGGCCAGCTGGTCAGCACAGGCCCAGGTCTGGGCCTGGTGCTTTCTTTCTCTTCTGCTTCCGGAAGACCTGACACACATCTTTTTCACAAACCTGAAGTGCAGGAGGGTGAGAGGGGGCTGCTGGAGGTGTTAATAGGTCCATAAAGAGAAGGTCCGAATGGGTGTGGGGTGTGAGACAGGGTCTTTCAAACCTGCAATAAAACTCATTCAAATCGTTGGCCAGTTGTTGATTCAGCACAGTGCTGGGGGATGGTGTCTTGTAGTTGGCGATGTCTTTTGGTCCTTTCCACACTGATGCAGGGTCACTGTCAGAAAACTGGTTTCTCAGCTTTTCAGATTCAGTTCCTCTTAGCCACTCTGTTCTCCAGTGTGTTTTTGGCCTGTTTATAAATGACTCTGTCCCCATTCCTGTAGGCATCTTCTTTGGCCTGACAGAGCTATCTGAATTTTGCAGTGAACCACGGTTTGTCGTTGTTGTAAGTTAAATGAGTCCTGGTAGGGATGCATATATCCTCACAGAAACTGATGTATGATGTTACAGAATCCGTGAGTTCATCCAGATCGTTGGCAGTAGCTTCAAAAACACTCTAATCAGTGCAGTCGAAGCAAGCTTGTAAATCCCGCTCTGATTCGTTAGTCCATATTTTTACAGTCCTTAGTACAGGTTTAGCTGATTTCAGTTTCTGCCTGTAGTTTCGTATAAGATGAAACAAACAGTGATCAGAGAGCCCCAAAGCTGCCCGTGGGACAGAGTGATATGTATCCTTTATTGTGTTGTAACAGTGATCCAGTATATTACTGTCTCTGGTAGTACAAGTAACATGCTGTCTGTATTTTGGCAGTTCACGTGTGAGGTTTGCTTTATTAAAGTTTAATAAAATGATTATTGATTATTATAAATGATTAACAGAGTCATGGTGTTGTTGCTATGTGTCTGCGATCTGATCAGCCAGCTGTTGTAACGTCACGCTCATGTGCGCTTGCGGTGGAATGTAAAAACCTACAAGAATGAATGAGGAAAACTCCTTCAGGGAGTAGAAAGGTTTACAGTTGATGAAAAGCACTTCTAGATCAGGACAGACATCTTCTTCAACGCTGTTACATCTGTACACCACCTTTCGTTGATGTAGAAGCATGTCCCACCGCCACGCGATTCGCCTGTTGATTCTGCGGTGCGATCCGCTCTGAACAGCTGGAAGAGCGGCAGTTGTAGTGCGCTGTCCGGAATGCCTTCATTCAGCCAGGTTTCCATAAAACACAAAGCAGCAGAGTTTGAAAAGTCCTTATGAGTAATCAAAGTAATCAAATCCTTATGAATAATCAGAGTAATCAAAAATTGGTAAAAAGTTGTGTGGTGTGTGCTGCCGAATGCTCAGCAGTTTGTGCCTGGTAAAACTTATTGTGTTTGAAAAACAACAGACAGGAAAAACAAACAAAACCATTAAAACAACTGGAGAGCTCCTCTCCGAGGCAGCCATACTTGAAACAAACCTAATCTAAAAAAAATCAAATTTAATCTGCTGATTTGGTCTTGACAGCAGAGGCATAGTGTTGACTGAAATCTGTTGTTCTTTTTGAAGAATGGTAATGTAGATAACCCATACTGCAATGGGATGGAGGGCATCCTAGAGGCCTACCATGAGAGTCTGAAGACTGTCCAGCTCTACGGACCCACCAATTTTGCTCCTGTCATCAACCATGTAGCAAGGTACGAAAAACTAAACAGCACTCGCTCAAAGGAGCATGCTGGCACAGTTGAGAACTTATCCTGTGTAAAGAAGAAGAAAGACACAGTGCTGAGATAGATTTCTGGACTCAAATGAATAGAATATTGTCCTATTCAAATCTTTAAGTTAAAGTCTTTGTTCAGTCGAGCAACATTTTTTACCATGACAGACTCTATTTTGAGTGGTGGCTTTACAGTTTTGGAAAAACAAAAGATCACATTTTAGCTGGTGTTGTAGGACTCATTGGCTAAAAGTTCATAGCCAGAAACTTAATTGATGGTCTTTTGGAGATGTAAAGGTCACATTTACTATTGTTTGGAAAATTATCGAGGTCAAAATCTAGTCATTACAATAGGAATCTGCACAACCCGGAACTTCGCTTGAGTACAAAAGATTTTCCTACACAGATTTCACAATGTGTTCAAGTTGGTCACGCAAATTTGTCACTGTAATCAACAAAGTGTCACTCATGTGTACTTATATATAAGCTCACTGTTTAGGGTACTGCTACTGTTTGCATATTTTTTTAAGCTGTCCCAGGTACTAAAATATGAAAGCAAGTTTTGACCTTATAGTAAAAAATTAAGCTGTCAGATAAAAATGTAAATAAGAAATAAAACCATAGTGTGCAAAATAGATACAATTGTGATACATAGTCATCAGGGGCGTCATGCACTCTTTATTTTGGAGGGGGCACGAGTGGGGAGGGGGGGGGGGGGGGGGGGCGGGGGGGGGGGGGGGGGGGGGAGTAGTCATCATGTGACACACAGCAGCTACAATAGCACTTATGTTCTTATGTTTTATTTATTTTTTCCCTTTTTATTCTAAACATTCCCAAACGCATTAACTATATCATGAAATATCTTGATTCTCACCTATGTTAGTTGATCTATAGTGGGCGATGCTCAAAGTAGCCTAATAATGTAATCTATTAACTATGCATAAAAACCTGTTTACTTAAGTAACAGATATGGGTGTCATGCCATAACATAGTTTTAATACGACTGACTTTATATTTAATGTGAATTTAACATTGAAAGATAATGTGAATAAAAACATTGCAAGTTAGGCTACTAATCATAACACTTTCATTGTACAGAAAGAGAGCAAAGAACATTTACATTATTAAAGAACATTTTCACTGACAGCCTAGAGTTCAAGCACTCTCAAAAACTGCCATTAAAATCACTGAAGCTGTTTACACTGTGAAATGAATATCTTACTTATTTATACACACATCTGCACTTTACTGTTTCTAACGAGAGAATTCGCCAGAAAGAAGTATTCAGTCAGTGACACCGGCATTTTAGCAATGACTCATCTGAACGCCTCTGATTGGTCTTTGCATTCATAAGCTCAACAGCATCGTGTGTGATTGGTTAATGCGCAGTGCTGTACAAACGCGTCTGTCTCTGGCGCGCTGAACGTTCTAATCACGCCGGTGTGATTATATGAAATATAGAAAACATTTTTCGGCAATTTTTTGTCTTTTGGAAGCTGCATTCAAAATCCACTTGGCTCAAAAATCTGAGGGGGCACGTCACTTTGAATGGGCATGACGCCTCTGATAGTCATAATTGTAAGAAACAAAGTAACGTATGAAATATAACATTGCAATTGAGAAACAAAGTTAAAATTGTGAGAAAAATGTGCAATTGTTAGAAAAAACAGTTGTGAGAATGTTGCAGTTGATAAACAAAGTCACAATTGTAACATGCATTTTGGGAAACAGAATTGTGAGATATAAAGTCGCAATTATGAGAAACAAAGCTGAAATTGTGAGAAATAGTCGCAACTGTGAAAAAAATAATGACAACTGTCACTGCAGTTATTGCAGTTTTGAGAAACAAAGTCCAAACTGAGTTATAAAGTAGCAATTATGAGAAACAAAGTCACAATTATGAGATATAGTCACAATTATGTGCAACAAAGTGACAACTGTGAGCTATAAAGTTGCAATTATGTGAAACAAATTCGTAATTGTGAGCAATAGAATAAAAAGTACAAGAAGTCGCAATTACAAGAAAATAGATGCACTTGACTTTTTCTGTATTCTGAAGCAGACACGGGCTTCTATATACACGAATACTGTAGCTAATGTGTTAGTGATTGTATGTATTTGTCAAAATTAACATGTAGATGATTTAACAAGCAAAAAATATTTGTTTCTTGTTGCTGTGACCGTGTGTGGACCTCAGAGAGGCCAGATCTCCTGTCATAGCTTTTGTAAAGTGAATCATTTGCATCACAAAGAGCATTATGGGATTTTGATGAAGGCAGAAGAGCTGTGTCAATAACACAGGGACATCCCAGAGCAAATATATATATATGCATGAAGTTCAGCACTGAATACTAAATGTGCATTGAGGATGCTCATTTTTTCATTATTCATCCTCCATGTTAAAACAAACATGTACCAGCATGAAGAGATTTTCATATTTTGGTTATGGTTCATTTGGGTGATTTGGATAACGTTTTCTGCTAATACGTTTGTTAATATGAAAAGGTGACTGTGTGTGTGTGTGTGTGTGTGTGTGTGTGTGTGTGTGTGTGTCTGCACACACAGGTATGCTGCAGCAGTTCAAGACGGCTCACAGTACTTTGTGCTTCTCATCATCACAGACGGTGTGATATCAGATATGGCTCAGACTAAAGAAGCCATCGTCAATGTGAGTTATCCTTGACCTCTCTCTCTAGCCTACTGTCCTCAAAAACAGTTTGTCTCATCATACTCTGGTGCAACACTGCATCACAAGTGCCCCAGGCAAAGTCTACGAAGAGTTAAGGTGCTTTTTGGGTCTTCCTGAGGTCCTCTCTGCACCTAATGGGATTCATCTGTCACCGTTGCTATTGTTACCCAGCAGACTGGATTTAAAGGGAATTTGCGACTGTTTAGTCACATTATTAAAACAGCCACACCTTCCTTTTAAGATCTTGCCTGCTGCTCTGTCTCTTCTTCACCCTCTACCCATGATGCTTTGGATCTTGGTCTTTGGTCACACGGTAAACATTTCTGCACTGACTGATATGGGTTCATGCACTTTGAATGACTTGAACACTTCATGTGCGTTATTCATTTCTATTCCCTGAGTGATTTTTATTGAAGTCCGCTATGGAAATTCCACTCATGTGCTCTTTTCTGTTGGTCTTTTTAAAATGATTAGATAAAAATGAGCACTTTGAAGTGTTTCTCATATGCACTCTCTCACTCTGACTGCTGATTCGCTCCACTCACAGTGATTTGGCCTCTTATATATATACTAGCTGAAGTAGCTGAAGCGAAATATAGGTTAATTCCATGGACTGAATTGTCATTGGTTTTTGTCATCACTAATTTTGACCATTGGTGTTCTTCGAACAAGAGTAATTAGTAATTACTCCGTAATAACCATTTCCAGTCATTAGTTTTGTCTTGTTTCCCAATAAAAATATCTAAACATCTTCAAATAAATAAACTTGAGAAGCAAAGGTACATTTTTTAAGTCCCCTATATCTATATTCTTAGAGCAACTGAAGTTAAATGTTTTTCTAAACTTTATTTGGAGGACTACTTGTGCACAATGCACATTTCTTAATATTAAGCCTAAAATGTGCTTCAATGTCACTATTGATGAGGATTGTATGATCTTTGAATAATATCCGTCTTTAAATGCAAGATATTTAAAGTGTATACTTGAAATAGTTCCACTGTAGCACAATCAAATATACTTATGTATATCTTTAGTTTGACTTCAGCACTACTTCCGCACAATTAAAATGCATTAAGTACTAAATTAATTTTGGTAACACTTTATTTTAAGGTGTCCTTATTACACGTTACATGGACTTACTATTATAATAACAATTAATTATGCATAATTACATGTAAGTAACCCTAAATCAAACCCAAATCCTAACCTAACGATATAGTAAGTACATGTAGTTAATTAATATTACTCAGTACTTAAATAAACTACACGATGGCGCCGACGGTGATGGCTGCCTCCGTGGCGTGCTCCGCAGTTGTTTTTATGTTTTTGTTAGTTTGTCCTGTCTTTAGTTATATCCCTGCAATCAGTTTCACCAGAGACGAATTGCTGGACATTAGGAAGTACACACCACCCGATATTTCACCAGTTTTCGATTATTCGGATGTTTTGCTGGACATTGTAGTCGGGGGAGCTGCTACGCTGATCAAGCGCTTCAGGACTCGCAGACGGGGGAAGCGAGCCGGCGCGCTCGTGAAACTCAGACAGCGCGGATTCAGAACGCCGTTGCTGAGCATCCATCTGGCGAACCTCCGCTCTCTACCCAACAAAATGGACGAACTTCTTCTGCTCTCCCGGACAAATAAGGATTTTTCACACTCTGCTGCTCTGTGTTTCACGGAAACCTGGCTGAAAGACGCCATTCCGGACAGCGCGTTGAGTCTCCCGGGCTTTCAGCTGTTCAGAGCGGATCGTGATGCAGAATCAACGGGGAAATCACGCGGTGGCGGGACATGCTTTTACATCAATGAGAGGTGGTGTACAGATGTAACTGTGCTAAAGAAGATGTGCTGTTCAGATCTAGAAGTGCTCTTCATTAACTGCAAGCCGTTCTATTCGCCACGGGAGATTTGCTCGTTCATTCTCGTGAGTATCTACATTCCTCCGCAAGCACACGTGAGTTCAGCTTCACAGAAACTCGCAGATCTGATCACAGAGACAGAACAACAACACCCGGACTCTGTTTTAATCATTCTCCGAAATGTATAATTACACTGCACCTTAAAATAAAGTTTAACCTTAATTTTTTTCCAATTTAGCAGACTTTAATTATACCAGTTTATCATACCAAAAGTACAATTGCAGGGTATTTTATTAAGCACATAAATAACTCAATGCATTTTTTGTATACTTAGCATGAAATAAATGTAATTCAAATACATTTTAGTACATTTATTTTTCACCAGGGCTGCCATTTCTTTGTAATTAATTGTAAAATATACCATCAATTTCTGAGTGAAAATTGTGTCTACTATTTTTTCAGTGTATATTTAAACATCCTTAAAATAAAAATATATATATAAATAAATAATTTACTTGAAGAATGATTGCATAAGAAATTAAGACTTATTTTCAGATATTACGTTTATTTTTCTCACCCCTATTGGCATAGTTTAAAAAAAAAAGTTGAACTTCATAAAACTGAGTTAGATTTCTGCTTAAAATAAGAAAACAACATTTGTCAGTTGAAATAAAGAACAAAAATAATTAATTAAATAAACATATTTAAAGATATTTGATATGAAAAGTCTTAATATCTTATTCAGTTTTGCTTCTCAAGTCAATGTATCTAAGAATATTTCAGTATTTACTGAAAATCATGACAAATAGTGATTAAAAGAATGATGTTTCCAGTGTGTGTGTGTAAAAATTATGTATTTAATATTTATTAAATCTATTAAATGACTCCAAAGAAGTTTTATCCTCACTGATACCAGCAGATGTGCATGCTCAAGCAGTCACTGAGAATCTAAGAATACACTGAAGCCAAGCAAGTGGTTATGTGGCTCAGCGGACAAGAGAACACTGTAATTCACAGAGTTTATTATAGGCTAGCTGCAAATGTGTCACATCACATAATTCACAGTAATCTGCACTTATTTCATGGCTGAGAAAAAAAAAAAAAAAAAAAAAGTCGGGAAACAAGAGGGAGAGGGAAAGTTAACAAACAAGTGAGCAAGAGAGATTTCAAGAGAAGCACTTGAAGGAAAGACCTACAGGAAATAGAGCAGTGAATACATGAAGTGTGTGTGAAATGTGTTTGTTTAGACTCATCTTCCCAGCTCTATTTCTTTCAACACATGACTGCCTCTGTCCCCCGTGAGCATTTCCGGGAATGCTGACCTACTTCCAACCCCATAAATATGTTTTTATAATCCTTGCCCATTGGCACCAAGCACTCAATGTCCTGTCTGCACAATGCATACAGACAGGAGTGGACTGGTAGACAAAATCAGCCTGGTTCCAATACCATCCCCATCACAACACAAGTAGATAGAATAAGTATTGCCTATTTATTTATGTATTAGGGGATATACTGATATATAGGGGGTATATTGATATACCTTGATGATATATTAAGAATTTCAAACTAACTCAGCATACAGTTTAGAGCGGCTTTCCCTCCTGTAAGTTGGCTGTGCTGGTTAATGCATTTGTGACATGTTTTCCAGAGCTCATAACTTTTATCTTGAGATTCTGTCCTTATCTGTAAATGTTAGAAAGTCATGCAAGTATTTCCATTTTGCAAAAAGGCTTGTCTTGACAGCAAGTGAGTATCTGTTAGACTTCACAGCCTTCACTTAAGGAGCACGGCGCGTGCACACATACACACACATATATATACAAATTAATATTTTATTAATTGAAAAAAAAGTAAAACAGCTAGTAAAACAGAGTCAGCTGACTGTGTATTTCAGAAATAAGAAAACACAGTGAAAACCAATATAAATATATGTCATTTATTCATATTGATTTCCTGTATATTTATGTCTGTAATTCTGAAAGAAGCAGTCAGCTGATTCTACTTTAGTATTGTTGACAATTTATGGAGTCAATCTTTTGGTTTCCTACATAAAGCTCAAGGATTATTGAAGGAATCAATCTCTGAATCGTAGTAATTATATAATTCACTCATTTGGTTTGATTAGCTCTCCAGGCCCCACAGTTTAGGGTTTGTTTGTGCTCTGTGTGTGTGTGTGTGTGTGTGTGTGTGTGTGTGTGTGTGTGTGTGTGTGAGTGTGTGAGTGGCTCTTTTTCATCTTGTGTGATGTGTTTTTGTGTGGCCCCCGGTGAAATTCCAATTCTAACCCCATTACAACCCACAAACTTATCAGTGTGACTGAGGCTGTGTGTCCAGCCAGCTTTATTTGTCAAATTATTCATTCCTCTCAACAGGCTTTCACGGGCCCTCTGGGGGAGTACTTTCAAAATTCAAACCCTCAGGAGCCTTTAAAGGGGTGGTTCACTGGGTTTTTTCTAGGCTTGATTGTGTTTATGGAGTGTAGTCTAACATGTGTTAACGCTTCGTTTTTTAAAAAACGCATTATTTTTCACATAATTTACCTTTCTTCCACACCTCTCTGTCCCTTCTCTGAGAATCGGGCTGATCATTTCCTTCTTTTATGAAGCCCCTCCCTCAGAAATAGGCGATGGGCTCTGATTGGTTAGCTAGCCCAGTGTGTCTAAACGTCCTGCCCCTCACCTCGGCGGCATTGCGCGTCCATGTTTAAGGCTTCTCATAACTGTGTGAAAATAAGCATACAATTGTAACAGTTCATTGTTGGAGGTGAGCTGAACGAGAGAGAGAGAGATAGAGAGATGCAGAGCGTGTGCAGAGCAGGGGGACGCGAGGAACAGTATTAAGAACCGCTGCTTTAGAACATTGATTTTGAAACTTGTGAATCCATTAGAATCGTTAGAAGACAGAATCACGATTCATATATGAATAGATTTTTACGTGCACCTCTAGTTTTCTCTTCCTCTTCTCTAAAGCAGCGCAGCATGGCCTCGCCCCCTTTGCTGCCTTTTCCCGAGGGCGGGGTTTATCTGGGTTTGTGATGTCACAAGCAGTAACTCGTTGTAGTCCCTACCAGCCGTTTTTGTAGGCATTAAACTGCCAGAATTTTAAAAGACGATATCTCCATTTGCATTGAACTTTCAGCTTTGTAACTTTGCAGATATTGTTTATGCTCAAACAACAACATTAGACACTAACTAACGTTAAAAAAGTGAAATCGCAATGAACCACCCCTTTAATATTTCTATCAGTATATATTTGATATATTAAAAGTATATTTCATTATAAGCTCTTCAGATAACATTTCATAGAAATCATGTTTTCCCCTTGTATGTATTTCTTGTATTTTAGTCTTTCTGCTGTGATCATGTGTGATGCATTATATGCAATTACTTTTCATTTCGAATCACTGGGAAGTCGCTTTGGGGAGAAAGTGAGTTTTGTTTCTCTGAGTATCTTGTGGTTTTCTGGTTATCCGTTGTCACTGGTAAGCAGCCTCTGAGCTGGCTCAGTAAAGACTCACTCTTTACTTCTCTGATAAAGGGCATTTGACCTGTCAGTCAAGCATCTTATCAGGAACAGGGACAGTTAGCACAGAAGAGAGAATGTTGATCCAGGAGGGTCTGAATAATGCATAGCTTTCACCTCACTGTATGTGAAAAAATCACGCTGTCAAAATATTCTATTCAAACCATCACAGTCAAAGTCCTAGCGTTCTTTCAAACCCGACTGGCTTAACATGTTCCGAAATAACCTATTTTCTTTGGTTACTGATATCAAAAGCTGTGTATAACATTTATAAAATGTTTCAACTTTATTGTCATTAAGTTAAAACTTGCTATCTGGTAAAAAACCTGTAAGGGTGAACCGTAAAAAGTATATTTATTTATGTGTTTGTTTTGTGGTTTACATTAGATTCTTATGACTGTAAAACAACAAAATGATACAGTAAAATTGCTGTAACACAATGATACCAAGTCAATGTAAATTAAAGATATAATTTTCTTCAGATTATTATTTTTTGGATTGTACTGTCCGATGTGTTTCTTTGACTAATCAAATTAAGCATAATCTTAAACTTAAAACATACAGGTTAGTCCACCATTACAGTAAATTTGAATAATCTTATCAAACAGGAATTGTAGGATTATATCAGAGCATGTCTGATCATTATCATGACATATAATTAGTCTTCTCTGTTTTCTCAGGCGGCAAAACTACCTATGTCCATCATTATTGTTGGAGTTGGCCAAGCTGAATTTGATGGTAAGACCTGAAACTAATCTTATTTAGTTTCATCTTTATATCTTCTTCTATATCCTCGTTCTCTTTTCTGTTTAATTAGTCTTATTATATTTCATGTACTGCAATCATAAAAAGAAAATGTACTGCATAACCCTTTACTGCTTTTTTTGTATTGTACTCAGCATCTTCCTAACTGTTTCTTAACTATCAACTCAGCTAATAATAGTATTCCCACATAGAGGGTTAAAACTTGAATGCATTAATGCAAATTCACAGTTTGCACTCATGTAAAGTAGAGTTTCTGGATGAAAAGTCACCTAATTGGGAAGGTTTAGGGTTTCGGACTGATAAGCAGATGTCAACACGCAGATCTCACAGCTGTTCAATATAATTTGCATGTCCCACCATCTGCTATTAGTATTTGTGTTGGGCCTTTCATAATGTTCCAGCAAGGAGGTACATTTTGGTGTCATGCTGGGGCAAAAGGCTCCAGATTGTTTTATTGGCTAAAGGACAGATAACACAATGATCTCACTTTTTAGCCATGGTAGAACTGGACGGCGACGATGTAAGAATATCCTCCAGAGGAAAGCTGGCAGAGAGAGATATTGTACAGGTACATATCTCTATATATTTGTCTATGTATGAATTTATGTTTGACAAGTGACATATAATAACTGACAAGTGGTCAGTTATTCAGAAACAAAACAATGACTGAGTCACAAATCATTCACTCAACTCATTCAAAAACACTGAAATCAATATACATATATATATATATATATATATATATATATATATAAATAATATGCACTCATCTCAGCAAAATATTTATGTAGCTTAAGGAATGTCAAAGTAATATAACTGTTTGGGGAAGTTTCTTAAGGAATAACTTTTGGTGACCTACATTTACAGGCATCTCAGATTTAGAGAACACTGAGACATCACACTTGAAAAAAATAACTCAGGCTAACAAACAACAACAAGGCTTGTGCAGCCTGTAAATAATGAAAGAATCCAGAGTATTTTTTGTGAAACAACCAGGTTACATTGTTTACATGGGTATTTCAGTTAACTACGCAAAAAAAAGGAAATGATTCAGGGAATAAATAAACACCTTTAACTAACTACTTTCTAATCTGATCTGTGCCTGCAGTTCGTACCATTTAGAGACTACATGGACAGGACGGGAAACCATGTCCTGAGCATGGCACGGCTTGCCAAGGATGTCCTGGCCGAGATCCCGGATCAGTTAATCTTATATATGAAGTCAAGGGGCATCAAGCCCAACCAGACACCACCAGACTACAGCCCACCTGGGTTCAGCCCAACCCCCACCGTATGAGTTTATCCAGCCTGCTAAAAGAAAACAGGCGATGCTGTCACCACCAATTTGGATCTCATTCAAAGCCAATACAACTGATTCAGTGTGAGGCATCTAGGAAAGTGGATGGTTTCAATTCCCAGTTTTTGGATCTAATACACTGGGGAAATTGAAAACTGTATGTGTGTTCTGGAGTTTGAACTGTAAAGGACGGTTCTTATTGGATTGTGAGTTTGTTTCCCCCCTCATAATTTCTTTACAAATTAGCCAACACTATGAAAATTTATAGTTTGGATCAGTCTCATTCAGATTCATACGTCCAACTGTGCTGGATATATGGAGAGTATCTGTGCAAGCAATGCAATTTTCTGCTTATTTAACATCTCTAACATTTCAACATCTAAAAAACGGCATGTGAGGACTGTGTGTTATATTAGGAAAATCTTCCTCATATCCACCAGAGGAGGAAAAACAAGAGCATCACTAGAAAATGTGATTTAAGAAAATTGTGAAATTGTAAGTGGTTGTTTGAAATATTATACCCTGAATGAGTAATTTGTTTAGTGAAATTGTTTGATTTGTTTCTAGAATTTGTAGATGGTTTGTGTCATGGTGGTTTTATTTTTCCACCGGCTTTTGAGCAAAGTCTTTTTAGTACAAAGTAATATTTCCCATTGCGGTTTCCTATTCATAGCTTTTTAGAGCTATGATAAACAAGATTTTCTATTCTTAAGCATGAAATCCAGGTAAAACCAATTGTACATTGCATTAATACATTGTATTAAATGTATTTACATACTTCAGATTAAATCAGTTAAGAAAAATCCAGTGTAAAAGTGAAAAGCACAAATATTTTCTTAAAGCTGTCAAATTTGTAAATGTTAATCAGAGGTCACAAATTCAGATTCATTACACTGTAAACAAACTGAAATATCAGGCACAATCAGCCCTCAAGAACACCAAATTTACTTTCCAGCACAGTTTAATTTGTCCCGCCAATTCCTTGCTCTGGAGCCGGTATATCTTGATATTGTACAGCAACTCCTCAGACGCATGTTAGCTATCAGGGGAAACACGAGAGATTCCTCGCCACTCGCTGCTAAAGATGATTGGGGATGAGGCAGCGTCTGCTGTTTTTCATACAGCACTGTCTGACTCACCTGCAGCTGCCCGTGTCCAGCCTGAACCTTTGCCCTTTCATTCCCTGGATTCACCCTGGAGTTTAAAACACTTTTCTATTCTTCACCATGGCAGGAATTATTTTACTGGTTTCAGAAGATGAAAGACACATTGCATGCAGCTGAAATTGCATTACCCGCAGCGCAAACATAATGCCATTTTGTTTAAATGTTCTAGCTTTGAATCATTTATAGCATTGGCATACTGACCGGATAAGCATTGAACACAATTAGTTTAATAAACTTGCCTTACATACAGTAAGTTTACATTAAAGGTTAATAGCAAGCATAAATTAGAAACAGTATTTTATATGCAGTATTATTACTAAGGAAGCGCATATTGATTTCCTTTCTAATTTTACAACCATTAGAGGCTTAAGACGTTCAGTTAAATCTCAAAACATTTACTCGTTTTGCATACACAGCCTTGTATACAGCCTCTTTTGTCTGAGGTTCATTTTGAAAATTAATAATAATCACTATTCTCAGACAAATCTGTATGTATCAGTAAATACTGACTGTCTTACTTTTTTTTTTGGACAGCAGGGCCGTTTATACTTGTTCTTACTCAGTTTTGATACATTTTCTCCTTGTCCAGTACATTTTGACATCTCTGCTTGTTTGTCCCAAGTTGTACCAGTGTTTTGGTTTTACGACATCTATCTGTTAATATAATGTAGATTATGAACTGTGAAGATTAACTGCAGTTTTATTTTTAAATCTCCACTGGTCCTCAAACTACTAATTTGTAAGGGAGCACAGATGTTTACAAAATGTGATTGCCTCCTATTTAACCCACTTTTACAACATGAATGAGAATGTTCTTTCACAAAGAACAATAAATTTAGAAAATCTGCTCCCGGATTGCAAGACAATGTGTTTAAACACACCTTTCTTTTACCCTGTGTTATTAGCACACCTGGAGTTACTGAGAATGGAGTGATCCATCAATCAATTAGGAGGTGACGATTAAGCCTGGAAAGGGAGCATTGGGTGAAAGGGTCTGTTTGAGAGAGTTAACAGGTGTATTGATTTTAAAGGCTTATTTACTCTTCACTGGATATTGTTAATGGCTAGTTAATAACTAGTAGATAATAGTCCTTTTGTTGTTGAGAAGAGAGTCTTTTTTTGTTTTTAAAGTGTTTTTTTTTCAAGGGGCTTTCTATTGCATTCTGTTTCTCAAATGTAAACCTGGAAATTCTACTTGCATAAACATAACCTTTTTTAATCCAATTTAATATTTATGAACGCATTGCTGCTAGGTCGCTTGTAAATCCAAAGAACAAATTACAAGCATCCTGAAACACATGTATATCACGCTCCAGGGAATGTTAATGGGTTAATTTTATGGCTTGGTGTAAATTTATCAAATACTGTTTTTCCCCCACTATAATAAAGGCAGTAAGTCATATAGTAGTGCACAAAAACATTGCAAAGAGGTAATAGTAGAAAAGGTGTAAATTATGTGTTAAAGATATGGCCCTTGTCCAGTGCCAGCGTTCCCTCTGTGAGATATGCATGATTGTGCCAAAATGGCAGATGGGTTCAGTGACAAACTGGCCTATTGCTCTGTGTTTAGCCTCTGCTGCTCGCCTCATAACTGACATACAGAGCATGACGCATCCCATCCTTGCTGGATTCCTTTTCCTTCTCTCTTTTTCTCTTCTTCTTTACCTCTTTTTATCTCAGTCGATATGCATGGTGAGCTATTTCCAAACCGAACATAGAACATTGCTGTTGTCATTCCCGTGGTCTGTGAAATTTGTAATGATTGCCTTAAAAATTACAATGAATAAAACAATGATTAAGTTTTTCGAGAAGATCAGAGAGAGATTTTTTTGTATGCATGAGTTTCTTCTTCATGAATTCCCCATCAGTTACAAACTGTAGCAGTCTATTACAAACGGAAGCAGCCTTTAATGGGAGAGCAGAGATTTTCTCATGAATTCATGTTAGATGCCACGGCTGGGCCCTCCAGAGACATGTCCATGTCCATTCGCTTTAGTTCCTTTGTTTGTCACATTCATTCTGAGCAGAGGTGTAAAGAGTACCTAAAAACCATACTTGAGTAAAAGTACAGATACCATACAGTGAAAATTACTCCACTACACAAGTCACCAATTCCAAAACAACTTGAGTAAAAGTATTAGAGTATCTGGTATTAACAGTACTTAAGTATTTTACTTATACTAAATATAGGCTCAAAGATGCACTAGTCAAAGAGACATGCCAGTAAAAAACTGTAACGTTGTGGAGAAGCTGCGGAAAACAGGCAGAGGCAAGGATCTATGTGCTGGTATTTAATGGAAAAACTAGAACAAACAATAAGGCAAAAACCAAAGGGAACAAAGAACAGAATGACTGGCAAACAAAAAAACATTACATTCAACAACTCACAAGGAACTAAAGAAAACTAGGGCTATATATACACACTGGGGGCTAACAAGCTTAACAAATACTTTCAGTGACCTGTAAGAAGCAGTATCACGTCTTTTGTAGCAGAAATAAACTGCTGCAGAAAAAGCTAGGTCCATGCAAAATGTAATGTGTAACTGCAACACTCATTTCAAATGTAGTAGAGTAAAGAGTACAGATACTCATTAAAAAATGTAGTGAAGTAAAGAGTAAAAGTTGCTAATATCTTTGATACTCAGTACAACTATAAAGTACCCAAAAAGATACTCAAGTACAGTAACTAATTACATTTACTCCAATACTTTACATTCTGATTCTGAGTGATTAGTCACTATTCTGTCTGGTCACGGTGTTTAGATGATGTACATGGGCGAGTTTCCTCTCCTCAAAGGATCAAAATACCATTAAATGTCAGTAGATAGTTTTTTGGGGGGCTGACACTGCAAAAGTTCCAATCTATGCTCTGTTCATTATGTTTACTTGCTAGTTGCTGAATGCTAAACAATTGCAATTAGTGTGGTCGATTTTGTTTAGGCTAAAATAGACTGACTACAAAGGGCCATCTTGATGCAAATAGAAAAGTAAACTCTAAGTTGAGAGAATTTTAACTAAGTGACAAGTATTCTTTAGACTTGTCCTTTAATCAAAGTTTTTTTTTTGTCATTGCCGAACAGCAGCAATGAAGAGAACTCGCCGTCCAATCAGTTGGCTTCCTGGGGCGGGTTGGTGTGTTTCCTTCCTCAAAGAGCACCTGCAGAATTTAATAAGATTCACTTCTGATACATCAGCTGCATCACCTGAATTGAAGGAAGGAAGGATGGGGGTGGGGGAGATATATTGCTGATACCGAGTTTATTTGTTTTCTCTCTCTCTAACAAAAATGCATTTGCTAAATTGCCGTCCTGCTTCTTGAGGCCTTCAGCTGCTCTATAATGAGTGGAACCCTTTGAAATAAAAAAGCTATTTTTCAAGTTACCAGGGGGGATGGAGACTCACAATTATGACAGACTGACTGATGGTCCCTTCAAAGACCACCATATCGGTTTTGAGTGCTAATGCCAAATTAATTCCACAAATTGCTGTGAAGAACCAGCAAAATCAATGGCTTTCTTTGGCAACTGCTTCCCAAAAGAGAAGAAGAAGAAAAACATCTGAAAGAACAGATCCAAAGCATATCCCGAACAATCTGGGAGAAACATCCTACACCAAAACAAAACAGTGACAAAACAACAGAACAGAGATGGATGCGTACATACTTTCATGGGGTTTTGCCATATAGGACCCACCCAAGTAAAATCACTCTTAATTATTATTTTTTTTAATTATTAATTTTTCTAATCCCTAATGTTATTACAGTGAGTATTCCTCAGTTTAATTCCATGTAGACTAAAGACACAGTGACCGAAGTTGAGCAGCTCTGAGCAAAGATTCAGTGACAAGCAACTTGTAGTTCAGTAATTGTTGATTCAGCGGCTCTGATAGATTAGGTGAGTTCATTCAATGAAGTATTCCTCAAAGTGATTCAAACCGGTAACTCCAGCGCGTGTGTTTTTTGAACGATTCATTTAAAGAACCACATCGTGAGAGTCATTTGTTCGTGAATCTATAAGATAGACTAATTACGTTTTAGCCTATGTTTAAAACGCGCGAGGAGCGCCACGTCGCTTATAAGGCGTGGTCTACGAGAAATATGGAAATATGTAAGTAAAAGTTATGTTCACCAACAAACCTGTTCACTTAATTTGAGAACTTTGTGTTTTACGTCGGACACCCGATTTGAAACCCGCCGCTATATCATTCATTTAACGTTAGTGGCGCGCGGGCAAAAATATAATTGTTCTCGTGTGTCTTTTGTTTTGTTTTATTTAATTAACGCTAAATGAATAATATTAGTTGCTGGTAAATAGCGTTGGCCGTTAAAGGGCTTTGCAGAAACGAGTCATAGCTCCAATTATGTTAAAATTCCAGTGGTATTGCTAAAAGCGCTATTAGAAAGCATCTCTAGATTTGATTGTTAATCTATCAGGCTTTTGTCTGTCTCCGTATCAGTAGAGATGTCGGTCCCCTTATAAGACACATGTCTGAAGGCAGACAGGTCTAAGGTCATCAACATGCTGGAAACACTTATGCTCTTTGTCAACATGCCGTAAGCAGCCTGGCTTTTAAAACGCAACACAAAAAGTCACTCCAATGAAAAGCATGAGCCCGAAATAAAGAAACCAGGGAACATTTTCACAAATGTCATCTGAAATCTGGGGCATCAGAAGACTAGAAAAAATCCAGTCCTCACTCAGACACATTTCACTGCACCTAATAGGCTACACATTTTTAAATATGTGTGCAGTGTACAGTTTTGATATTCATCTGTTTCATAAATACAGAAGTAACAACACCTTTGGCAGTGCATTCGAGCTGATCAAAATAATCTCACCTAAAGGTGGAAATGGAATAAAATAGAATAAAATCTACATATTCACAATCAAAAATACATGAATGAGGGATTTTTTGTAAATATCTCATTTGCATGTTAATTTCAGGCATGTTTTAGCCAAACAGCTGAATTAATTTGCAAGTGCAGCGAGCAGTTAAATGCTTTTTTTTCTGCTCAGAAAATTTGACAGACTTGCCACAACACATTCACTTTTTTTAACAGAATAACTTCATGCATTATCATAAGCCGACTCACTTAATCATTGGATTGGTGTTCTGTGCTATGAGAATAAATGAAACTATGCCAGGCTAACCTAAAATAAAATTAACTAAGCTGATAAAACTGTCAACAGCTGGCGCTTTTCATGAATATAAAACACTTTGGTGTCCTTAGAGTTTGACACCCAAGAAATAACATAATTGGAACTTTTTACTGCATGGTGGAAATAATCTTTTTTCTCAGTTTTACACAAATTGCATTTTTATTATTATTATTATTATTTTTTTTATAAGTCTTGTCTACTCATTGATTTTTATGGATGTATTTATTTGATATTTCTTATTATATTGTTTGATTTTGTTGACTGCTAGGAAAGAACAAAATCACACAAATCAGGGTTTTAATGATCAAAATTTGATTTGGCAACAAGGCTGTAAAAATTGCATAACAATAACTTTGCAAGAAAGATGCCGTTTTTTCATAACATATATTGATTTTATTGTTTATAATTGAAATTGCAATACTGGAAAACTATGAGAGAGAGATAGTTTCCAGAAAAAGCAGCAATATTATAGTGCTCTGGCCACCTGCTATCATTTCATACTGGATGCAGTTGAAGTTAACAGCTTGGAATACCAGAATGTCAAAAGAAATTTAAAGGACATGACAAATGTTTTTAATTCCTAAGTGTGCTTGATCTCCAGTTTGACACTTGAAATTTACCAAATATAAAAACACTGGTGCAATAACAAAATAAAATAAGTTAAGCAAAACAATATCAAGTGTAATGAACAGAACATGTAATACAATTTTTTTTGAGCGATTTAGTGACTTTGTGCATGTCTTCAGCTTAATACTTGAATATATTCTCTGCTTTGGTCTTTAATGCCATTTCCAATAAAGTTGTTCTACTCTCTCAATTGTGTATGCACCCGAACAGGCATGCATACTCTCCCTCTTTTTCTTTCTCATTAAGCTGTCTTGGCTCTTGGTGTGAAGGGAGGGACACCCTGTCTGGGGCACATCAAAGGCTTTTGCAGTAGCGACAGGGGCTGATGAAATGCTCCATGCCTAATTTAAACCTCCAGCAGCACCAGCAGAACTTGTCTCAAATGTCCCAGTAAAAGTCACTCTATGGATGGCCTACTTCAGGAAGCAGGCTCAAATCACATGAGACTTTGATTCTAGAAATACCAATACTCCGTCTTAGAGAAGGAAGTACTGTATTATGCTTAGGGTGATGACGCTCTATCCAGCACTGCAGATGCTGATCAGAGACAAGTAGTTTTGTGCTTTGAGATCAACCTTTGAAGGGAAGTCTTCAGAAGAGTAACAGAATCAAACACATTTCCAGCTGCATTTAGCCCTAGATTTACAGTATATCTCACAAACTCAAATATAGTTTCTGCAGGCTGAAGCTTTTCAAAGTATTGCTGTGATAAAGTTAAACACAAGTTGCGTTCTGAAACAAGAGTGCTGTTCTGAATTTCTGTGAATTGTTCAGGCACCTGATTTTAAAAGATTCATTCTAAAAGATTCAAGACACCACTGTATTTTTCTTAGTGATATGCAACCTTTCACAAATATTCAGCACGATTATGGGTGTGATATTGATTATATGCAATTGTTCAGTTTAATAATGTTAAAATTGAGTAACTTACATTAGCAGTTGTTTTGTGTATTTTTGTTTTGCCAAAGAAAACAGTTCTGCACTTCCAATCAACTCAGAGTAGTGGAA